CGAAAATACTAGGGTTTAGGGTTTAGGGTTATCGCAAGCACTCCGTTGAAGATACTGCAACTGGGTTCATTTCCTATACCTAAGCCGTCCATCTAGTAGGGTTCAGGGTTTAGGGTTTTAGGGTTTAGGGTTTGGGTTTTAGGCTCTTGCAAAGAAACACGGTCATGCACAAAGCTGGAATGAAGGGAGTGGGTCTTGAGACGCTCACGAGACTTCGTGAGTACATGTAGCTACAGCTGCACAGCTCCATCAACAAATCACCGGACGCCGACCCACGAAGGCCCCTATAGGCCCTAAACCCTAAAGTCCCTAAACCCTACCTGGGCCCTAAAGAACCTACCTTTTTAGGGTTCCTTAATATGATTTCTTTACATAAGTTCCTAAAAAGCACCTACCTTTTTGGGTTTCTGGGTTGAGGGCTTAGGGTTAATATGATTTCTTTATATAAGTTCCTCAAGAAGTGTAGGTTGTTTGGGGCTAAGGTACACCCGAAAGTACCGTACGTACTGAGATGAGAGGCAAAGACATGCAAGGAACCCTAAACCCTAAACCCAATAGCTCAACGCTTAGGGAGCGGGAGGTCCCTCCCTGAAGCCTAAAACCGATCTTTCAGGGTTTCGGGTTTAGGGTTTTAGGGTTTAGGGGTTTTAGGGTTTAGGGGTTTCTAGGATGGTTTAGGGTTTAATGTTAGGTAGGGTTCCCGTTCACTAATCTATGTGCTCGCCAGGCACAGCTGATAGTACCAGTCATACTTTTGCGCCGATTTTTTTGGGGGGGTTCGGGGCTCATGTTGAATGTAGGTTCGTGTCCCTGCACACCCTAAACCCTAAACCCTAAAACCCTAAACCCTAAAACCCTAACGCCCCAAACCCTAAACCCTGAACAAGTCCCAAGCACCACAAGCCCAAGCACCACTTGGACCCCTCATTTTAGGGCTTTTATGGCTTTTAGGGCTTTGTAACCTCCAAACTCCACATTGCGCTTCGAGGCCCCCGAAATTCTTGGTAAATCAACTCCGGCTCCAGACCATAAGCGGTCTCCCAACACAGCTACCCTCCCAAACTCCCAACGTTCTACAGCCCCAAAGCACACTTGGGTCGTTCTCTAAATTATAGGGTCCCTTTTAGGCTCCTTTGTATTTATAGGGGGGCCTGGAAGGGGATCCTAATTTAGAGAACTACCCACTTGTCTGCGAATCCAAGAGGCGGACATTGAGTTGCCCTGTGAGTTGCTCCTCCGGGAGGCTTACCCCCTTCGCGGCCGAGATCGAGCACATCATGGATTGCGGACCCTCTTAAAAGCCCCTAAGTGATGGCTCTGGTGGCCCTATGTTTCGTAAGGGCTGCCTGAGCCTTTAAAATGACTGCGGCCAAGTCCGACAGTAAGATCTTCTGCATACGGATTCCTAGACAGGAAGCCTTTCACGTATATACGTGACAAACCGTAAACCCGGAACCCCGAATCTAGCAACCATGAGCCCTTTTGACGATCAGGCCTTTCAGGCATCCTGCCTCTGCGGCTGTATTTCGGGTCGGGTTTAAGGTTTAGGGTTTAGGGGGGGGTTAAGGTAGAAACCCTAAACCCTAAACCCTGAGAAGCACATCTCCGGATGTAAGCCAACAGTAGCTTCAAACTCAGCGGACCTGCTGTCAACCTTTGTTTCCATGCACTTATAGGGGTTTAGGGAAAAGAGTATAGACTCTTACCCTAAAGCAACTTCAAAGCAACCCCTTTCAGGCCTAAACATATGATAATCCTTACCAATAGGTGTATGGACCCATTTCCTCCAACAAAAACCGCACAAAGCGATGGACTATAATTCAATATATCCTTCATGACGGCAAATATAACCATACTTCTCAAGCCCCCCGATCTAACCTAAACCCTATAACCCCTAAACACTAAACCCCTAAACCCTAAACCCTAACCCCTAAAGCCCTCAACCCTATTGCTCCACGACCGCATTGCTGGAGCCTCCCGTCATACACCCAAGGTCGACGAATTAGGGTTTAGGGTTTAGGGTTTAGCATCACAAAGTAGTCAGTTTAAGGCTGAGGGGTGTAGGGTTTGAGGTTCAGGAGTTCGGGGTTCAGGGCTTTAGGGTTTAGGTCCATCGGTCGTCATGCTTGCGGGACGGGACCCTGGCAACGTGTCAAGTAAGCCATGGAGTAATTAAAGGAAACTACAGGTGGGGAGTTTAGGGTATATAGGGCTTCTATAAGGCTTCTATAAGGTACATAGACCTTCTATAAGGCTCCTATAACGGTAACTACCCACCTGAGAATGTCCTAGAGAGTAACCGAGCCTGACGAAGAAACATAATCTGCCCACAGGTCGAACCAAAACCTTGTCAAGCCTACCCCGATGGTCCAAAGTAATGTAGGGGTCACAATAATTAGAATGAGGTTGTGGGCTCCTTTTATGGTATAAATATAATATAGAACCCTACGGAATAATCTTGGTACTTGATTGGGCTTCTATAATGCTTCATAGTTAGGCAGCTTATAAATATAATAAAGAACCCAACGGAATAATATTGGTAATTGACTGGGCTTCTATAATGCTTCATAGTTAGGCAGCTTTCTGAACAGGGAAAGCCGGGAAGGCGAATGAAGGCCCGTGTACCCAAACTCCGACATAGGCCGTGCTGTGCTGGATATTGAGTAACCCAGCGGGTCCGGGTACCCAAATTGTAAGGTTTTAGGTCCCCAAATCCATACTCTGAATGGTGTTTGGACCTTGACACCCTACTATTTGGGCACTTGGACCCTTAGGGTAATAGACCCTAATCCCACTTCTCTCAACTGAACCATGAACCTACAAAACACTTCCAACATGAGCTCCGATTGCTGTTTACAACACACAACCGAAACCCTAAACTCAAACCTCACACCTGTCGTCTTTGTCCGCAAAAGGTCTCCAGATCAGCGTTCATGACTGGCCCTCGGCATCTGGCTTCGCGCCCTTCTCCTGCTACAAAGAAGGGCCATCGATTGAAGTAGAACAGGGCCTGGGAAAAGTGTAGGATATATGCATATCTAGGTTAACAATCTGTCCATCCATCTATCTATCTATCTATCACCTCCCCCTATCTGCCTATCTATCTGTGTATACACCCTAAACCATGATGGGTTGCCCCGGACCAGGGTGTCTTACTAACTGGCATGTTCGAGGAAGCGTGTTCTCATTTCCGCAACAGCCCCAAAACGCTAAACCTAAACCCTAAACCCTACACCCTACACCCTACACCCTAAACCCTAAACCCTTAAACCCTCAACCCTAAAGCTCTGAATCCTCAACCAGAAAGTTCCTAAACCCCTGAACCGCAAGCTTGGGGTATCCCAAAAAAATCCAGTTGTAAAGTAAGCCAAACGAAGAGAAAAAGACAAAAACACAAAAACCACACATGTCCCACCCCAAATGTTGATGTTTGGGGGCTGGTTTTGTCTCCTGATAGCCGCAGCAACAATTCAACAAACTGCTTTTTGGGAGTGTCATTCCCTAGAGGTCCAAGCCCTAAACCCCTAAAACCCCTAAACACCTAAACCCTAAAACCTAAGGTTTAGGGTTTAGGGTTTAGGGCACTAGTAGTGACGTAGTGTATTTTCCTAGGTCGTTTAGGGGTTCCTTTTTGGGCACTGTAGGGTCGAAACCTATCCCTGGCCCTCGCGGAACTCATGCTTTAAAGACTTTTGGGCCCAAAGACCCTATTATCCTATTATATAAGGCTTTTGGGCTATTTTGGTGCTCTGGGTATACGGGGATTTCCGAGAATAGGGGACCCAAATATAGTACCC